TAGATAGATAGATAGATAGATAGATAGATAGATAGATAGATAGATAGATAGATAGATAGATAGATAGATAGATAGATAGATAGATAGATAGATAGGTATTGATAGATATTGATAGATAGATAGATGAATGGATGGATAGATAGATGAATTTTTCAGTTAGTTTAAGATAAGAATGATAGAAGAAAAGGAAAGGAAAAAAGTTTGTTTAAAATTCTCACACAACAAATGTTGGTTAGTTTATAAACAAGCAGTATAAGCAATTCTTAAACATTCACAATTTTTGTTAACAAATATTTCTTCACTTTTATTCATTTCATTGGTTTAAAATTGATGAAGTAAGTAAGTATTTGGATGGGATGGGTTAAATTTGCACTTTTCTTTGGCATGAATGATGAATAAGAGATAGAGGAGATGAAGAAGGAAGAGGAGGAGGAGGAGGAGGAGGAGGAGGAGGAGGAAGAAGAAGGAGAGGAAGAGGAAGAAGAAGAAGAGGAAGAGGAAGGAGGGAGGAAGAAGAGAATTTTTATTTCTACATAAAAAAAGCAACAATTCAAATTACTTATAGAAAATATATGAACAAGGAATAGAGGAGAAGATGAAGGAAGAGGAGGAGGAAGAAGAGGAAAAAGAAGAGGAAGAGGAAGATGAAGGAGAGAGTTTCTATTTATGGATGAAAAAGTAACAATTCAAATTACTGATAAGAAATGAAAAATGATAAAAGTTATTGTGTTGTATTCATTAGTATGCTAAACTTGAGCAAATCTTATCAAATTTTTATTAGTGGATGTCATTAAATTCTTAACTTTTATTAAGTTCAAATTTTTATTGTTCATGGAACATCAGTTGACCATCAGTTAGTTGACCACTGATAGACCATTGAATGGTTCGTGAGCAGTGATTTAAAACTAACTTGAACCGTAACGAGGGCTATTGAAAAATTATGTTCCTTCTTTTTTAATTTTATAAATGATGTTGCTCAAGTATATCAAATACAAGTATATCGTATAAGTATATAGTATAAGTATATAGTATAAGTATATAAGTATATAGTATAAGTATATCGTATAAGCATATAGTATAAGTATATTAAGTTAATCAAAGTATATTTTCATATTAACGGAATGCATTTATTTTTTGAATCTTGTGATGTGTGTGTGTGTTGCAAGCAAAAAATAAAGCTAAAGTGGTCATTGGTCGCTACATATAAAAAAAAACCTAATTGACCTTTGGTCAAGAAAAGATTGATGGATATTAATTTTATTTTCTCTAAAATTTTATTTATTATTTTTTCATATAGGAAAAAAATAGCAATGGAAATGTTATGTTATACATATGTAATGAATATATTATTTCGCTATAAAAGAAAAGTTGCAAAATTATTTTTGTATATTTAGAAAAATAATTAATTGTCATTTAATATTTTTTCCAGAACTTTAAATTCCAAATTTTCTCTTCCTTGATTTCACCTTTTGAAATCGTAAAATGCTTAAAAAATAGCTAGGGATGTTTGTTCTTACTTATATTCAAGTTTAGAGCTTAAATTTCGTGTTAGATATCAAATGGAAAAAAAATGAGCAAAGGTTTTTCAAATTTAAATTTGAATAATTTGCACATGATATATTTTTTCATATTTGACATAAGTTTTATCACATTTTACCCATTACTTCGAAAGCTAATATGGGGAGAATGTAAGTTTTAATTTTTGATTTATTCAAAATAAATAATCATCATCCTTCCAACTTTTCTATTACTTCTAGATTGCAACGATTGATTAACTAATTAATCAATTAAATAATTGTATGATATGAGAACAAAATAACAAAACACTTATCAATTCAATGGTTAATAATTCTCAAATAACAATAACATCTAATTGCACTCTATACAACAAAATATTATATTAGCTTTATATCGTATATTTTTTCTAGTTTCTTTTCATAGTTCACTTGTAATGTATCGTAACTGATAGTATCAGTTAGTGATAGATGATAATTTGTAATTTATTTGCCAATTAAACATAATTTTGCCAGGGTTAAAGAGTGATATAAATACGAAATAACTGATAACACTTCATGCTTGATAATTTATAACCTATTTACCGATCAAATACAATATCTTCTTTTTGTGACAGATGATATAAATATGAATTATTGCATACCAGTTCCGTATATGTAAATAAAAAGCGCAATTGTACTGATGTAAAATGCTGGATATCCATGTATCATTTACTGTATACACCGGATTACATTCAAGTATATATCATTTATTGTTGTTAGCGTAAAAAAAAAGAAAAAGGTTATAAAATTAATTATTGTTACACATATATGGTTTAATGTATGCGAAGAAGCATGGAATAGTAATTGGATCATTGCTTGAATCATTTAAAATATAGAATTATCTGCGGAAAATGTAAACTTAGTAGTGGTATATTGAGTACTTATTCCAACGAAATCATTAAATCATAGATTGAAAAAAATGAAATTTTTGCACAGCAAAATATGAGGAAAAATATTGGAAAAAAAAAGAAAAAAAGCAAAAATCATGAATACAAAAGAATATTAAGACCCCGTACTTACAATTTTAACCAAAAAAAAAAAAGAAAAAAAAGAAAAAGAAAAAGAAAAAAGAAAGGCTTAAATTTAATGATTAAAAAACTTTTAGCTGATTTCAATAGTCAGAAAAAAAAAACGGTAATAACAAGAAACGATGGATACAAGAGAAAACCTAATAATTCTCATGTATGTTTATTATCATGAAATAACGTGATCGTCACGCAATATAAATCCAGATATCCTTACCGCGCAATATTATATAGGTAAGACCACATTATCATGTGATATTTAGAGTGGTATCACAATATTTAACGTTACGCTGAGATCAAAAAAAAGGAAAAAACAGCGAATGAAAAACAAAACATACTGGTAAAAGCTACATCTATAAAAATATGAATCAAGCAATGGATCACATCAAATGATCAACTAAATTCTCTTATAAATATGGAGAAAAAAAAAACCAAGAAAAATTACGATTAAATGACAGAGGAAAAGCGCAAGCCAAAAGAAGGAGATCCATTCCAACTTCGCAACGCTATGCTCTGAAAATGATTGTACAGATTAAAATCACAGAAAGATTTGCAGCTATACTTTACTTCTTTACTTGCATTATAGAAAAGACAGTTCTGCAAACATTTGTATAAAACTAAACGGAAAAAAAAAACCATCAAATTTTCTTAATGAATTCAAATCATAAAAAATTGAATTTTTGTAAATTTCTCGACAACTGTAACCCTCCCAACTATTTGCACTACATTGAGAAATACAATAGGAAAAATTAATTCAGAGGTGCGATAAAGAAAAATAAGATTAAATGTGAACTGCATGGCAAAAGTTTCTATATGTGATTTACACTGTTCCAACATTTTACGTATAAAAAGGATAAGCATATCAACGAACAGACGATAACTGATGGTGGCGTATCGATTGCACAAAGATAATTTTTTGGATGTTCAACCAGTAGTCAAAAAGAGACAAACTTTTCAAAAATGACAAATAACAGTTTTAAAATTAAAACGCAACCAAAAATGCCATAAAAACTTCGGAACATCACATACAAACAACAATAGAAACCAACAAATTACGCATGTGCTATTTTTTCGTGTATAAAAAAAAATCGATCTCTTGCATCCTTATTTTTCCCTCGTATTACCCTATTAGCATATTATTCCATATCTAAAAAGAAATTTCTTGCTTGAGTAGTTTAGAAATCAAAAATTCAAAGACAGGATCAAAAGATATCGTAAAAAAAAACTTTTCGGCTGTATTTAAGCATAAAGTAACAATACAGATGCAGAAGGCCAGAGAGATGCAAGGAATATTGTAGACCAACCGGTTCAAGACATTTCTTTAATACTGCTAATTTCTGTTTTAAGTACAATGAAGAGTAGTGCAAAATGAACAGAAAACAGCAAAAAGCTGAAATTAATAGGAATAATTTAACCGAAAGTTTCGGAATCCTTTAAATATTTGACTGAATTGACAAGGTGTACATTAGCGAAATCAATTATAATCTCAATAAGTGCTATTATACTACCTTGTAAAACGAATCTCTAAAACAGGATATTATGAGAACTTCCAGAAAAATCCTATACAGTACAATAAGTATCAGTCATTTGGCTTAACATCCATCAGTTATTCAAAATGTGACTCATCTTCCACTAAAAATGTGATTACGTAGTCACTGCTTAACACAATATTGATATTGATACACTCTTGCAGTCATAGTTCCCAATATCAACCATTGTATCATTGTGTTTCAACCACCGACGAAGAAGTGAGGCAAGCATCGCTTTACAGCGAAGAACTTTTAGCTAGTCAACGTAACAATCATATTAAAATGACATGAACAATTCAAAACCTTGCACAAATACATGAAAAAAGAAAAACAGCTGACATTGGGAAGAACGCGAAGGAATGAATAAACTGATTCTTAGCGGATCACGACTAAAAACAATTTCTGAACTCATTTATTCTACACAGATTGTTTTAAGCATTCCTCCACCAATTACTCGCGCTTACCCGTGTCTAAATGCTTGGGATCGTAAGCAAAGCATGATGCTACTCCAAAGACCTGGATGAGAAACGGATGACAAAGTGCTTTACACAGTTCCTGTAGCA